ACTCAGAAACTGCACTTTCTTGGTCGGATTAGAACTTTTTTTTTTTGCAAAAAAAATTGAGTAGCCTTAAATGGCTTCTTATTTTTTTTTCATCCTTTAGTGGCTTTTTTTTGTGACTTATATTGAATGCAACTAATCATTTTGGAAAAATTTCGTTGGATTTTTCAGTTATGATCTTCACAAGAAAACGACATATGACTGTATGTAATACACTTGTGTTTTGAAATAACTCTAAATGGTACTTTAGTGTAAAAAAGACGATCGTATGTTTTCAGGAAGAACTACTAGGAAGCCTAATTGTCTCTCATCCAATCCTAGACTTTTTGGAAAGTGACAGTGTGCCGCTTGGAGATATTTTTTGCTGCTACTCTTACATGTGTTGTTGTTCTCCTTCCTCGTATTGCCCTGTTTCGTACTCTTGTGTTCGCATCCTGATGAACTGTTGGTATTTTATTCTGTTCTTTTGCTTGGTATTTCATGTTAGATGTAACGAGCGCTTTGTATTCGAATGGTTTTCGTAAATAAAAAACAAGGTAGTCAAGAAGGGGAAAGTCAGACTTCAAGAATATGTGTTTCACTGCACTTCACTCATATTTAAAAAAATTTTAATTGACTTAGTGAAGTTGCACATTTTCCTTCCTGAGTAGATTATATCATTTTAATCATATTGTGTGTCGAATCATCATTAAGCAATAATAAAACATAAAAGCAGATTTCGATTACCTTTTATGAATACGCTGCAACATCCAACTCTATTGAAAAGAAAGTCAATGAACATGAGAATCAATAGAAATCACTTTTTCTTCTGAGCTGACATACTATTGATATTTTTTTCTTTTAAAGGTCGAGAAGAGAAAAGGAAAAACAGAAGTATTGCGCACTTGCCATAGAGAAAATAGACTTGTCATCGTTGTATCTTTTTTCTATCAGAAGTGAAATGCAAATAATGCTTGCACTGCTTTTATCTCTGTAATATAGTCAGCTTGTTCTTATTCACATGGTCCGATCTCTAAAAAAGAAAAAATCTTATCACTGTTTCGCAATAACTGAAGGAGGGAACCAACGAGCAATTCATCGAAAAACTGCAGAGTTATCGAAATATAGAGAAATACGTGCTATGATTTCGACTACTTTCTTATTATATATTACTTTGCGGAGCATTTAATTAGCGAAGCAAAAGACAACAATCATGGTTTAACAGATTCGAATTAATGAAATATATGAAATCAATAATTTAAATTTGTTCGAAATTTCGAGACGTACAAAATAATATTGAGTCATTATTTTCAATCTGATATACAGCCAATGATGAAACTGATCAGAGTGGAAATCGACTCTTAGGGCCTTCTTCTATCGGATTTCTGACTATTTTATGTAGAATGGTAACGCACATCGAGATGAATATTATATGTGACGAAACTAAGCATATCAAATGTAGCTATGAAGAGTTACACTTGAACCAAGTAACTAGTATTATTCTAACTAATAGATTATATTATCTTCTAATGTCGCTAAACATGTTATTCTTTTTGCTTCAGTCATTCAGATGTTATGGTTCAAATATAAAGCATCTACTGAACTCCATAAATCAAGTCGTCATCAAGTCCAGTCTATTTTCGGTGAACGTTCAAAAATGATTTCCAATACTTCAAGAGAGGGGCAGAATTTTTCGAAGATATGTACGAAAGTAATTATGATCTTCTATATTGTATGAATGTAAAAATATTTTCCTTGACACGCTTTTTCTGTGCCATATTTTTGAAAAATACAACTCTGTGAAAAGAGTTTTTACACATGCTACAAGATGCATTTTTGTAAGAAAAATAGTTGTATAGTCACTATTATTTTAGAATTTGCCCGGTACAGAAAAAACCGTGAAGTCAACATTATAGTGACCGTTCATTTTTGGATATGATGTTTTGTCTCATACCACTAGGTGTGGCATAAAGGTTGCAACATTTGATATTTTGAAAATATCAAACGTTACAATCTTTGTACCACACTCGGTATCATTCGAAGAAGGCTATCATATTAATGCGACAGAAAAGCAAAAGAGAAAGTTTATCTAAATCGTAATTTATGATTTTAATAATGTCATGTAACTGTGACAAAAATAGAAAATAAATTTTATCAGATTTCTAATTTAGAATATAGATAAACTTTCATATAAGTATGACAGAACACCAGATGGTAAAGTTTATCTGAATCATAATTCTAATAATTCTGTCAAGTAACTGCGAAAAAAAAGATAAAGTTTATCTGAATCCTGATATGGATGGTGTGGGTGTGGGAGCAAGGTTTTTGATGTGAATGAAGAAAAGATTCGTATCCATACCCTTTATCTCATTAGCTTTGACACATGTGCATGTTATAAATTACAAGGGTTAAACTTTGTTTTTCGATGAAATTTTGTCGCTACGAATAATGAAGAAATCAAGTATATATCAGTTACACATGATTAAACAGAAGTATGTTCAATACTTTGAGTTCATATAAAACACAATCAAGAAAAAAAACGAAACTATGTTGTAATAGGCCTACTTTGTATGATTATCATGTCTAAAATTTGTATACAAGAAAAAGTCGAATGTAAAATAAATAATCTTGAGATCAATTCATTTTTCATTACAAAATTTACTGAAATGTTTCTAACGCATCAGTGTTACTAAGCGTTGCGAAATTTCAGTTTTTTACATTGTGACTTTTATATCTTCTTAATAATAAAAGTAAACTCGTTGAAATTTTTATCATTCACAGAGGTTTCTCAGATCTATGCTATCAGTAACATATTTATTGACTCTCTTGTGACCGGAATTCAGCTATTTCAAAAATACTGATTGTAACGGAGTTTCAAAATATGGAGGATATAGGTGCTAATGTAAATCTTCTCTTCATCCACGTCAAAACTCCGCTCCCCACCCACACTGACAACAACATCCACATTCACATAAACTCGCCCCACACACATCAAAACCCATACATACCAACACCCACACCGTTCCGAAAACTATCGAGAGCCTTGTTAACGATATTTAAGAGCTAAAATAGACTTCTAATCTCCGTTTTAGCTCGTTTTTTGCATAGATCAAATAAAATGATCGAAGATTTTGTGCTTCAATATGGTTTAACGTTCATTGGATATATTAAATAATAAATTTAAAAGTTCTCTTGCGGTTATGAACACTGCGATGGACTCTTTTTTAAAAAGAGTTTTTCTATCAACAATATTGATTTTTTTCGTTGTCAATATATGATAACCTTTTATCTTATCCTACTAGTTTGGATCATTTAGATATGTGCAATATAGTATAATAAATGATATCTTCTTCGAGGCTATTTTACATCAAACTATAAAATTGATTTTTATAAACGATAAATACATTAAATCAAGGTTATTACATTCATCATGTGTTCTCTTGGTAATTAATACTTTAATCAGAGAGGTGACTTTTAATGATAGATAATATTAATGATGCAAGTCCAGTAAGTATAGTTGTACAGATACCTGGAAGATTTGTTTTTTTGGTAAATAATAATGCATATGGATCATAATGTTGAATGATCACTGTGAACGATGTTAAGTCAACATTTCTATTTTGATGTTCGAAAACGATTCTTTGAAGTGCTATTTCCTTCATTTTATCAATACTTCTATTTGTTAACCACATGATAGTAACCAATGAACCATATGATAGAAAATGTGTCACAAAATTTAAAATGGTACCCGTTGTTATCGTTTGGTGCACTTTGAAAACTGCATAAGCATAAGCGATTGACCACGCTAAACAACCAAAAACATAAATGCTTGCAAAAATGTTTGCATTCTTCAATTGTTGGTATTCTTTCCAAGATTTTTTGTTAATGAGAACATTTTCCCAGTACAGATTTATTGTAGCTCTTCCCATCTTTACCTCGTTCATATTTCCAGTAAACTGTTGTCTAATATTGTCATTTTCTTTTGCAACTCTATTGTAAACATGTAGAATCCAGTACAAAGTAAATGAAATGAAGATAAAATTGAGAATGTAAGATGTAATTCGACTGACTGTACGTGTTTTTTGTAACCAAAACGTTGTCATTGTTCCGTTACTAGTTTCATAGAATGCTTCCTTGACATCGACAACAACGTCCACTGAACTCGAAAAAACAACTATGATGAGAGCTGCAAAATATTGCCAGCGTGCAGAATCTGCCCAAACTCTAGAAACATGAAATGTTAAACAATTTCTTTAATCTCAAACACTAAACACAATGCGTCAAAGTGATCTAACCACAGAAAAATGGATTCAAAGCTAAAGCTTTCAACAGAATTATGGAAGATTTTAAAACGTATCAAGTAAGGATATAGTTTGTGGGCGAACTAGTGGTCTGTGTTGCTCAGCTTTTAATAGATATTTTGACAAGATTGTAGTTATTAGTTTTTTTTGTAAGTAACTTTAAGGATAAAATAATAAATGAGCTCGGAAAAAAGAGATATTTGAGCTCGGTGTGTTTAATTGGCTTTAAAATGAGAGAAATGAGCTCGGTTGTAATAAAAATATATTTTTTTATGTAAATGAAAGTTTTGAGCTCGAAAATTAATTTATACTCTGAAAAGATACAAATGAGCTCGGTTAATTTTATTTTTGTCGTTAAAAAGAGAGAAATGAGCTCGGTAATTAATTTATAAAAATTAATTAATGATTTTGTCAGTGGCAAAGTATATTTAATACGAAAAAAATAGTTCAAGAACAAAAAAGTGCTGGGTTACAATAGATTTTTACTAATATTCAGTCTTTTGTTAAAGCTAATTTAATTTTCTTTGGACGACCTTTTTCCCTTCTTATTCCAAGTTGTTGTGGAATTTTACGATGACCCCACATCATTAATAAACCCAAAGAATGAATGCAAGAATATTCTTTGAGACCATATTTACATGAACAAAATAATGGTGAAGTTAAACGAGAAAAATCAAGTAAACGCGCAGAATTTAACCAGTCGATAAATTCATCGTAAGAATTTCAAGATATACTATGATAATGTTGTACCCATAATAATGAATCCATTTTTGGTTCAGAAGAAGGTACAACGTAACTAGCTGCGCCTAAATATAACACTTTTGTCCAAACAAGTTTTTGTAACCATTTATATGCCCTAGCTGCTAAATCATCATTAAATTCGATTTGAATCGCAAATGGTGTACTGATACTAGCTAATGACCAGTCGTAGAGCATACGTTCAGCTGTTTGTAAGAGGGTGTGGGCGTGGGTGTTCTTCTGATCTACCAGCACATCCGAACCAACACCTACACCCATTAATTAATTTTTATTAATTAATTACCGAGCTCATTTCTCTCTTTTTAACGACAAAAATAAAATTAACCGAGCTCATTTGTATCTTTTCAGAGTATAAATTAATTTCCGAGCTCAAAACTTTCATTTACATAAAAAAAAATATTTTTATTACAATCGAGCTCATTTCTCTCATTTTAAAGCCAATTAAACACACCGAGCTCATTTAATTTCGCGTCCTAACTTTAATGTACGAAAGACCATTCAATGGATCAATTAAGCTCTTTTGATCTAGGTAAGACCGAAAAAAATATCACTGATCAATTCAATATGTTTAAACACCAATTTCTCGATTCTTTTTAGAGTAATTAGTGGTGGTGTCACTAATTTTAAAGCTTTGAAAAATATCCTCATAGCATATGAGCGAATGAGTATACGATTTCAACTTTATTTATATGAAAAGGCTTGATTCTATCTATTGAACGGTTATCTTCATGTTTATTATATCCTGCGATTTTCATCTCTTACCTTTTCAAGTTTTCGACAAGGCAACCGCATCTTGCAGTCGATCTAATTGTTGAAGTAATCTGATTGATTGGATCTCGTTCATTTTTAATAATCTTGTTAATTAAGCAGATGGATGACAGTGGAATGAAAATATAGAATGCAGCTGATCCAATTAGAAAAATAATATCCGTACCAATTGCATCTTTGTGATTTTGAAAATTAGTAAGACCGATGAAAATTACCAGAAAAATACCGGCTAATGAAGTTAGAATTGACAAAATGTTTCCAAAAACTCGACACTAAAACATAAAAGACTTCTCAAATAATAAACTTAGTCGATCAGTAAAACGAACGTATTTTTAATGAGTAATACTTTACATCCGAAGAATGCAAAGAGGTCAACTTTATGTTAGCTATCGTCTCAAACAATAAAATATTGTCGTATTTTCAGAGAAACTCAAGTGCTTTTATACAAAATATTTTTCTCAACTTCCGCTAAGAGCATGATCGCTTTCGTCTCTTTGCTACTAACAATGTACTATTTCTTCTTGTTTATCGATAAATAAATTGAGTTCCAAATAGAAACAACACCTATAAATAGAACATTTACTTTATTCAAAATTTTCCCATTTTCTGAACAGTTTCGTCGGATTCTTTTAGAAATTATGTTTCCGAAAGTAGAGCACTGATGTTCGTTTTCAGGAAACTTGAAGTTTGTAATATGTTGGTTTTTCAAATAAAAGAATTCTCACATGTTGTATTTTAGAGATTACAATCCTCGTTAGACAGAAATTTAGTTTCTGAAATCAAGCTGTCTAATAATAAAAGTACAGATTGTGAATGGCTAAAGAACTATGTACATCAATTTTTCATCCTTTATAAAGTTTGCACATGTTCTCGCAAATTTCGGACCTATGAAATTTGAATCAAATTTTTCTTGATCTTTAATATCATATGGGAACTGAGTCAAATATTGAAATTTATGTGCTCTAAGGAGAGAACTCATTTTTGAATCTTATGGTACACATGTGCAAAGCTTCGTGATATTGAATTTTCACGAATTATTTTTGGTGCAAAGAACATTTAAAGTATTTCTAATTTTTCGGTTCAGTTTTGTCCTACAGCTGTCACGATCGAAGAACAATTTCACAATGGAAGTATATGTAGTGCATGTAAACAACACCAAAATGATTCACTGTTACAGCAGTAGCTCTTACTTTGTTGTCGTCATTGTGTCTCACTAATACGGGCGGTGGCGGTGGCAATAGTGGTTTACGTTCGTTCGCATTTGATCTGTCCAATACTCGATTTTCCGCATTGTCGGTTGAAGAAGATGATGGGATATGCATCTCTACAAATCAAATCAAACATAAAGCACTGATCGAAAATATTTAAATAATTAAAAGCTCAGTCTCAATTTTATGTTTGTTTCTATTTAGCTCTATGACGGAATCGATATTCAAAACCGTAATCACGAGGCATCGCACACAGTGGCATACTTGACTATGAAAAGTTTGTGCCGTTTTTATATGTAAAAAGAGAATACTAATAATAGATTCGAAGAGAGAAAAAACAATAAATATTATTGCGTTGTCAACCTTCGTCGACATGATGACGAGAAGGAAGAAACCAAGATGAATGTTTTTTTTCTGATATAAAATAAAAATAGATGAAAAATTCGTCGTTCTACGATTCATATTTTTTTTTTTATGCCAGTAGATGTAACACTCGAAAGTGCTTACAATATAAAAGAGAGAAATATAAATGTATAAGCGAATAGCTACATCTTTAAAGCAAAGCGTTATACATTGTGCCACCAATATACTGTGCTGAGTACCAATATACGATTATGGGAATAAACATATGAATAAAAATAAACTAGTGTAAAAGAGAGAGAGAGAGAGAAAGAGAGAAACAATGATGATAAACAGCAGTGGAGATACACCGATAGAGCGAGTAACTAGAAAAGGAAAGAACCTATAAAAACAAAAGACAAGAGAAAAAAAAGTAAAGAAGAAAGAACAAAATCGAAAGAGAAAGACTTAAAAGACTTAAAACGAAAAAAAAAAGGAAGAAAAAGAAGAAAGAAGGAGAAAAGAACAGAAATCTATAATCAAGCAGTGCAGTTATGCATATTTCTGTGTTATCAATTCGCATCTATAAAGGACAACCACTTTAAAAGAAGCGATTTGTGTCGATCTATCAATTGTTGCACACGGCGTGAACAAAAAAGTGGCCAAGATGATCGTTTTTCCTTTTACAAAAATTATCCCAACTGAAGATATCTTCATAGAATAATGAAGAACCAATATCAGTTATGAACATAGTTTTTAATCTTCTTTGAGTATTATTTTTTGACGTAAAATTCTAAGAGCTGTTCAGAAGTGGCATTAAATAGATTATGCGCAGAAACGAAGGGGCAGCGATGCACCAGTCGAAGTCCTACACGGAATTTTTGTTGCAATAAACGTTGTTGAGATTGTGGGAGGAGAGGGAAAAGTGGGAATAACCATGCGAAATGAGGAAAAGTGTATGCGAAGAAACATTGACAGAGGGCTTTACATGACATTTCGCGACCAGATTTTAACCATTTCAGTTTCGCTAGCGATCTCTGAATATTTCCAATGCTTTTTTCGACTGTCGGCTTCAACGATAGTCTATCCGTCCAAGTAAACCCTAGGTATTTGAATTCTTTGACTGATTCGATTTTGTTTCCGTCTATTGTTACGTTTACTATCGGTCTTTTTACTTGAGTATGAAATAGTTGTACTACCGTTTTTGAAACATTTAATGGTTGCTTCCACTTTTTTGAGTACATAAATACCTGTTTACAAATACGTGTACCTTCTTTTTCTAAGTAATCGATCATCGGACCTAAGTTTCTCGTTATTGGGGGTCTAACTAATACACAAAGATCATCTGCAAATAGATGACATGAATGAGCTCCCAGATAATTTGTTAGATCTGAGTGAAACACTATAAATAAGTACGGGCTAAGACTACTGCCTTGTGGAAGACCTATATTGATATTAAATATTTGTGAAGTTCTCTCACCATATTCTACGTAACCTTTTCTATCTTTTAACCAACTAACAGTCGTTTTCAATAAATTGAGAGGCATACCCATTCTTTCTAATTTACAAAGAAGAGCGGCATGCCATACACGGTCATAAGCCTTTTGGTAGTCGACATATAGTGCCAGTGTCGGATTCTTAGTAAAAGGACTTTTTCGAACAACTTAGAATGTGTAGCTAACAGGGATATTGGACGAGTTTGCTCATACTTGAGGATACCTGATTTAAACTTATTTAGAGTTATGATTTTTGCAATTTTCCACTCGTCTGGATAACGACACTCGTTTAACCATGCATTAAAGCAATTGACTAAGCACTCGATGTAACTTGGAGGAAGTCTTTTAATTATAAAGTTTGATACCAAGTCAAAACTTGCTGACTTCTTAGGCTTTAAAGTTTCAATTAATCGTGTAACTTCCCAAGTACTAGTTTTTTCGACATTATCTCTCGACATTATTAATTTATTTAACAGCTCTTTATATTCACTGTCAATCTGAGCTTCGCGCTCATTAGAGAAATCCAAGGCCGATTCTTTAAACTGTTTGTTGTAATACTGATATAATTCGTTTGTGATTTCTTGTTGTGTTGATATTATTTTAGTGCCATCTGATAATTTATTGAAGGGCAGCGTACGCGATTTGTAAATGCGAGATAAACGTGACCAAAACGCTTTATCTGATTTATCGTACGACGTTTGAATGTTAGATAAAAAATTTTGCCATTGAGCATTTTTGTATTTAGCAATATCAACTTTGGTTTCTCTTGTCAGCGTGCGTAATAGCACTCTTGTTTCCTCATTAAAAATTCCCTTATGTCTTAAATGATAATATCTATTTCTCACTTTTCGTGTCTCTTTTAATTTTTCGATGATATACGCCGGTAATGATGGTTTATATTTATCTCTTTCTCTCCAATAAGTCACTCTATTTTTGACAGCCGTGATGAAACGAATATATTGTTTCTACCACTCATCAGCACTGTTTTTCTTTTGTTCTTCCATCCAGAATGTTTGTAATAGCGTTAGTACTGCTTCAAATGCCTTCCAATTTGTATGGGGAAAAAAACTGTTTGTATCAAAAGAAACATTCTCACACGAAAGCACAATAGGCCAATGAGCACTAGTGCCCAAACATAATGATTCACTTGAAATAGCACTCATATTAGAAAACGACAAATCTATATTACGTAGGGAGCGCTTTGATGAGTGGGTTGTTGATGGAATATAATTGAGATTGTTTTCATTAACCCATTTTTTCACGTGCGCGCCTCTCCTATCAGTATTCGGACAATTCCATTCCTTCACTGTTGCTTTAAAGTCACGAGATAGTATGGTACCTTCTACTACATAAGGCAGAACGTCATCTAGATCAGGCTGTTGACTAGTGGACCAGTAAATACCGATTATACGTACTGGTTCTGATAGACCAGTTATATCAATAACAA